TGGTGATAGTGGTGATAGTGGTGATAGTGGTGGTGGGGGTGGTGGGGGTGGTGGGGTGGCGGGGGTGGTGGGGGTGGTGGGGGTGGTGGGGGTGGTGGGGGGTGGTGGGGGTGGTGGGGGTGGTGGGGGTGGTGGGGGTGGTGGGCCGCGACGGCGGCAGGGCGGCGGCGGTGTGGTGGTGGTGGTGCCGATCATGCGCATCATGATCATCAGCAGCAACATCTTTCCGATGTGCCCCAAGATCATCATCCTGGTAACAGCCGTAGCCATAACAATGGCACTTGCACCAAGACTCATCCCAACAAGGATCCGCAGAACATGCTTCACATTTGCTGAGTGAACGAAAACCTGATCTTGGCGAAGGTCCGAAAAATTTCAAACTCGAAGAATCTAAAGAAGCTTCACAGGAAAGCTTCGAGGAAATTCTGGCCTCTGCGGCCTCTGCCAGGAGCGCCAGTAACTGGGCGACCAGCGCCTGCATCTCAGCATAGCAAGACATCAATCCAAGCACCCTCGACAAGGTCTGGTCGTGCAGGGGCTGGAGTTTGATGGGAAAGGCAACACTTAATTTGTCATGGCTGCAGAGGACAGGGCAACAGATAACGAGAGAGCGTGAAATGATGCTTGCAACCACCTTCGTTCCTCTGAACGTGTAGCACTGGGGGACGTCTAGACTTAGAGGTCATATGCTGCAAGACTTGGCTGAAATACTGCTTCCACGACAGCAAGCCTTGCATGCAACATCCACTGAAATCAATCAAGGATGATCTGGACACTCAAACTTCTCAGACTCAGGCCCAGCCCAAGATCAAAATCCAAAAACCAAGCGCCCAACTTCGTAACCCCCGCGAAACCTCGGGAGCCGCGGCGACCTTCAAAACTAGCCTGGGCTTTCGCGGTCCAGTCATTGCTCAAGGACTTTGTAGGTGTAAGGAGTGGCAAGGTTTCAGCGCTCACACTCTAGCGACAGCGAATACAGGAGTCCTTGCCTCAACGTTCGCAAGAGAGCTACGTGAATCTGCCGCTGTACACTTTATTGCGACTAGTCATCTCATCTCGGGCAGCCCCAGGTGCTGCACTGCGTCGGAGACAAGCTGCTCATCCTACCAAGTACTTGCCAACCCACCCGCGACTGTACAGCCCTGTACTAGTACAATCGAATCCGGCGTGCTGCTCGGACTGTGTTCCACAATCACACAATTTCAGCCAATGGCACCGCGCAAGCTGCTCTCCAACTGCAGCTTCCGTCTGAGAGTCGGAGAGCTTGGCATCCAGGGCCTCGCAGTAGAAGCCCCTTAAGGATCCAGCTTCGGGGCTCTGGTCGCAACCCAGGTGTGCCTTGCCGTCCTCGCTGGCCTTTCGTGTCGGCTTCCCTGAAGGAGAGCGTGGCGCAGCACCGGCTGCACATTCCGCGGCCACGGCGGCAGCACGGCCAAGCAAAGGCCGCCGCCTCCGGCCACCTGGAAAGATGACAGGCTCTCCACACTGAGCCGAGCCCGTCTCCTGCCCTCAACACCTGGCCTCGCGTCAGTGCTCGCAGCACTGTCTGCAGGCCGTCGGTCTCCAGCAGACCCCGCAGGCCAGGAGCAGCGAGGCAGTTGCCATCGGCGTCCTGGGGGTCTCTTGGACTGCTCCCAATGCTTCTCTTCCATCTCTTCTGACTGACCTCCATTCACCCTTGTGGTCACTCTGTTTATTCTGCTGGGAGGTTCTCATGAGGCGAGCGTCCGCATCACCTTGGAGGCGCTGGTTCCACAGCGAAAGCGTCTGTGCTGCTATTGCAGCAGACTTTGAAGCCTCGTCATTCGCATCTCCCTGAACATAACCTTGGCAGCCAGTGCAGGTGCTGTGCTTGACGAGCAACACTCCCTACTTCCCTTGACCCTAGCCAAGCGATGCTGAGGCCAAGGCTGCTACTGAAGGTTTCCACCTCACTTTTGTACAGATTGATCAGGTCGGAGGACTGCAGGTCCTCGGCAGCCTGAGCTCACCGTCCGATCTCTTAGCCATCAAGTCTCACTTGGTAGCACACAGAGCTCATCAGAGCTCGTGTCTGCTTCAACATATCAGCACCAGAGGGCTCTCTGGCCGGACCAGGCATTCACGGAAGCAGCGAAGGTGGCACCCACCGTTTGCAGGCCTGATAAGCAAATTCCAACCAAGGGAGTCGGCGATTGCAAGCGTCTCACAACTGCCTCAGCCCCTGCTTTTATGCCGACCATTCCTCCGTTTCATTGTTTTGTTTGTGTGTCGCAGCTTCTCCGATTCCCTCTGTTGCAAATTCGGCTCATCTTACTGCTCTTCGGCTCCTGCTAGTCGCCTTGATTCCCCGTCTTCGAATCTTCCGGCTCACACTCCTGCTGCTACTTTTCGGGCCTGTCCTTCCCAAGTTCTCCATGTCCGTAAACGTCGTACTACGAGCACCCCCGCTTTCCTTTATGTCCTCTTCTCACCGCTCCCTCTGACCGTGCTATCCTCCAGAGTCTTGCTCGTCTGTACTGGTGCCAGGCTAATTCCTGCGTTGCAGCTCTGTGCATCCTCGCCTGATGCTGAACTGCAAAAGCCCGGAGCGCTGCAAGGAACCCTTCGAACGCCTTCGTCTGCTTCTGAAGCCAGGCGCTGCACGGACTGCTGCACCTGTGCTGACGCGGAGGGCGGAGGGTTTCGGATCCAGGGCTCAGGAATGTTTAGTTCATTCTTTCGTGGCGCTCTCAAGCTTTCTCTTTCGTACTGGGGCTCGGTCATTCGTGACAAGTGCGTGAGCCCAATGATAGATGTCCACTGATCAACACATGTACAGCACCTATCCGATCCACTGAACATGTGGTTTGCAGTTGCTGAGACCGGTGATTTCTATGGACAGTGTTAAGTGGGTGCCTGGATTCAGGAGATCATATCACTACTGTATTGACGTCTTGACTCAGTTTCTAGCCATGCACATTTGCGACGCTAGTGTATGCTAGACTTCGCTCCTGATTGGTAGCCCGAGGGGCTAAAGGGCTCGCAGCAATTGTGGCTTGCAGGCTCATCGTGAGAGTTTGCGTCTCAAAATCACAACTGCACAGCCGACGTGGACCATGGTCCAGCAGGATCGCCATGTAAGTACGACAACTACCGTCAAAACCACCATAAACTCCTCGATTCGAGCACAACACTCTCAGAGAGGTCATGCCTGCTCAGCTGCACGGTCTGCGCTTGCTCGGAGAACCGCCTGGCTTTGCAGGCTGCGGCGCTGGTGCGTTGCATTGCGACATCATCGACTGATTGCCGTTTGTAGCTTTCTGCGGATTTAGGCGGTGTCTTTATCCCAGGACATGTGATTATTCCCCCTTCCTCCATGTGTTCCTCTGCATTCCTCTCGTGACTCCGTTGTGTCGTTTCCTCCGTTTCCCCGTCTGCCCCTACTCCTTTCTTCTCCCTTTGTGACTACTGCCTCCTGCCTAGTGTTTGTCCTTTGATCCCCACTGCGTCTTGCCTTCTCTGCGCCTGCTCTGTCTTTACTTCCCTTTTCCTCGTCGTCCTTGTTTGCAGATGCTGGGACTCTTGTTTTCAGGAGAACCAAGCTCAGAGTAGCAGGTGTTTTGGTTCAACCCTGCTGCACCAAGGCATCTGCCATGAGACAGACATGGCCTGGCCGTGCTCGAAGAGGGCACCCAGGCCTGCAAGACTCGCACGTGTATGTATGCGCGCATGTACAGACACACACACACACACACACATATATATATATATATATATATGTATATATATATATATATGTCTTCTTCTGCACAGCCAATGGAGAGCAGAGCGAACCCCACTCCCCCTGCGCCCGCACGCGCCCTGAACACAGTTTTGTCTTGCTTGCTTGCGTGGCGTGGCCTTTGGGCTGAGGGGAGCAGCCCCGCCTCCCCCTGCGCTGGCGCGCTACGCCAGTGTCCGAGTCTGGAGAGTCGGTGTGAGACTACATGTAGCCCCGATTCCCAGATTTCTAAACCCTCCCCTTGCCTTGTCGCGCATGTCCCCGTGACTGCTGGGAATCAGTAGCTACTCAGTTCTCTCTCCCTCGCCCTCAAGCTCTGAAACTCGCCTCGGTCCCTCCCCACTCTCTGGGACAAGATCAGTCTGAGCTCCGAGCCAACATCTTCCGAGGTGAACTTGCCTCCCGATTCCCCTGCCAACTGTTCCAGCTGGCGCCGGATCTCCTCCAACGACACGCTCTAAGGGAAAATCGCGGAGTCTCTTGCAACCCCTCCTCTGCTGACGTGGCAAACCAAGAAGCCATGGCTGAATCTGTGCTGTGCTATGAGCCACAGAACGCAAGCTTCGTCCTGCCCGTCATGGCGTAGACGGGCTTTGAGAAAATGCGGCAGCGGCAGGGACCGGCCAACTCGAAGGCACCCAAAAGCGTTTGGACCACTACAGGAGACTCCCCTATGCTACTCTAAAGCTCAACATCAAAGTAATGAACGAGTTCTTGCTTCATCCACGTAACGGCTGCATCGATAGACAAATAGATTGCGCGTCAGACCACAGAGGATCCTGCTTGCCTCTAGGCCCTAGACAACACGTCCCGAGTACGAGCACTGACAGCACCCGCCGGTGGCCATGGGTACTACCCCTGGCACCAGCCAAAAGTTTGTCACACGGTTGTAGTGATAGCATCGAGCTACTGCTCAGATCTGCTCAAAGAGTACTAACCTGTGGCTTCAACAACTCTTTGAAATAATTGGCAAACGTATTTGCATGGCGTAATGCGCACAGCAGCCTACGTCCGGCATGGTCCCGCTCAGTTGCCAAAACCTGAAACTACACTGGACTTCCGCAAATGAAGAGTCCAGCAAGACACTTTCCGATCCTGAACCGACGATTCCAAAACGCAAGGCTGTCTGCTCCGAACCATGATCCGAGGCAGAAGCATAGAGGGATCCCCGCTGTCCCAGGAGGCCCTCGTGATGGAGGAAGTCGAGGACGCGCTGCGAGGACCAGAAGGCTTCATGACAAGCTCAAGTCAACGATGATAAAATCATGGATCGCTCAAAGTTGAATTGCGCAAGCTTTGCAATAGTTTTGATAGTCCTAAGTTCTAAGCCGCTTCTTGTCGCCATCGCCTTCCGCAGTCCCTGGCTTTAGAACACACATAGGCTATGCACAGCCAATCCAGGATCTTAGGCATTGTAGCAACTTGCAGGCCGTCTCCCTGGAACATTCAGTGTGCAAAAAACAGCTCACCGTGCCAGGAAGCAGGCCCGAACACCCCCTAGACCAAACCCGAACCGAAAAACTCGAAGCCATTCTTTCCTGCAGTTGCTCAAGCGACGCAAGCAAACCGCAAAATGCAAAATGTCGACCAACAGCATTTTCATTCCTGCTTGAAGCGAGACCGTTAAGCAGGCCCGTCGCAAGCAATAAGCACCTGGCTCTTGTTGGGACAGTGCTGCTCCTCTTTAACGTCCAAAATGCCACATGATCCCATATCTGCCATATCTCCGTGGCCTCGATGGCCACCTCTGCCCTCTTCACTCTGGAGTGCTTGCGGTGTGTGCAGCAGGAAGTCGCTATCAAAGCTTTCTCCAACCAGCAACCTTCCAAGGCTCCTTCAGGTTTGGCCTCCTGCTTGTGGAGGAATCACGGGATGCCCATCGTCTCCGTCTCCGTGAATGAGGTCAGGATGCAGCGGTCGGCCCTGCCCGCCGCTTCTTGCGAACACTCTTCTTGCCTTTTTTCACAACGTCCGGGTCGGTCTTCCGCGCTTTCAGCTTCTTGCGAGCTGGCCTGTCCTTCACTCTGGCTGGCATGAGAGCGGAAGGATCACGATCACGCTGGCGACTTGGCTTTTCTACCTTGTCAGACATGTTTCACACAGACCGCACTTGCAAACCAAGCATTATTCACCACGCGAGCTCCTGCACCTCCGCTGCTTTCGGGCGTAGCTTCTTCTTTTGCCGCGGTCCATTGGAGCTGCCAGTGATCCTTGCGTTGCCGCCGCGTCCGCGACGCAAAGGCTCCGGCTCCTCCTGCGGAAGCAGCTGGCCATAGTCAGCCGCGAGTCTTTTGCTAGCTGCTTGCTTTCGGAGATAAGGCGAAGGGCTCGCCAATAATTTATATCTCTCTGTCTTTCTTTCGCAGTGGAGGGGACACCCTGCAGTTGCAACTTGGGAAAAAGCCCTCCCGCCTGCGCACGAGCTTCTTTCATGTTGTTGTGTGGTACTCCCCATGAGCTTACCACTGTTACCACACGGTGAGGCTGGAGCCCAGAGACTGGAAAGTCAGAATCTGCGTTGCTTTCCAGTGAAGACGTTGCTTCTCCCTCCCATCAGCAATAACTGCACCGTTTTTGGAAGCAGGCCTCTACAGCTATGCCTTCCTCCAAGCCTGAGCTCATGTCGCTACCCCAGCGTGAACCGAGCGTTCCCCTGTGCTCCACAACAACCGCCGACCTAGAGGAACCGACCTGCCACCACAGGCACCGGGGTGCCTCCCCCCGAAAATGCTCCCAAGGTCTTGCGTCCAGCGCTCGTCGTCGTGAGACCATCGAGGAATATCCCCGGTTCTACACGTTTAAACCCACATCAACACCTTCCCCGGCCTTCATCCCGCTGTCTGAATCTCGCTCTCTCTGTTCCGTCCTTTCCCCTCACACTCCAAATTGAATTACTGAGAGCAGCCAAGAAGCTGCATCGGAATCTGGCATGCAAGCAGACCCACGCCCCCGCCCAGCTCCACGTGCCCCAGCGAACCCACGTCCACCCCTTGGAGCTTTTACAGGGCCATCGGACCATCGAGGAGGTGCCGGAGCAACCTGGTTGTGCTTGCGTTTCTTCTTGGTCTTGCCGGACTGACGCTTCCCGTTCAGGATCTCCAACCGGGGCCTCACAGCTCCAGGGTAGGTGAGTTGAATACACAGAGACGCACAGATACACGTACACTTAGGCGAAGCGGCAGGCTGGCCAGGATCTTTTGGAGCTGGTCGGGCACATCGTCTCCTTGCGACTGCCAGTCTTCCGCTTTGCACAGTGTTTTGCTGCAGCGGCCAAGGGACCGCCTTTTGAGGATGACTACGGTAGTGACTACGCCACGGCCATTGCGCAGCGCCACAGAGGAAAAAACACACGCAAGTTCCCTGACATGAGAAGATCGTTGCCACCTGTCCTTCTGACACGTTGCCTCGCACATTGAGATTGGTTAGCCAGAGAAGTCCTGCCAGTTGACAGGGGTTCCACACTGCGAAACTGCAGGACATACGTGACTGTCCTTGCAAAGCTTCGAAACCTGACATCTGCTTGATAAGATTGTTGCCGACATCCAGCGTAGCCAAGTGTGGTAACGATGCTACCTGGAGGCAAAGAATGGCTGTGACATCTCGCATTGACAAGTCAAAAGGAGGAAGTGAGGAACCTGGACAGCCAAAAAAAGTTTCGTCAGAATCGCGACAGCCCGCCTGCTGTGAAGCTCCGAGGTTACAAGACCGTATGACAAGACTCTCCGCACTGCGAGTACAAGGGTGTGCTTGCTGCAGGTGGGCCACGACGGGAGAGATGGCGAGCAGCTTGTTGCCGTTCAGCCGCAGTTCACTCAGAGCCGTCAGCTTCTTAAGGCTCGGAAAGGAATGTAGCCGGTTGTGGGCCAGCGAGACCTTCTTCAGATTTTTGAAACCTTCAATGGACTTTTGGGCCGGTGCACACGCACATGCTCGTCAACCAATCGCTTCTGACTTATGCCCCTGCCTGTCAGTGCACACTGCTCAATGTGGTTGTGCGAGAGAATCAAAGTCTCCAGCAGCGGATTCCGCTTTGGGCTCAGGCCATCCAAGATGGCAATGCGATTTCGCGCGGCGATGAGCGCCTTGAGGCTCTGCAGACCTTCCAGGCCAGCCAGCCTGGAGCCGCTTCATGCGGCTGACATGCACATACCCTGGCACAGATGTGGCTGCACGAAGGCCTCGTGACTTTGTTGTCGCTGATGTCGAGGACCGCCAAGCTGGACAAGTTCGTGAGGCCGGAGATCTTCCGCAGCTTGTTCTTTGCGACGCCAAGCCAACACAGACTATGATTCATCTCCAGGAAGCCTCCGAGCCCGAGACCGAGCCAGTTTCCGAACAAGGCACGGCAAATCTCGCGTCTCAGTGCCGAGCAGCCGAGGGAGCTTAGGGAGTTCCCTTGCAGCTCTGCTTTCTTCAGATTCTTGAAAGACTCCAGGCTGTCGACAGAGGTCAGCTGTCTGTTGCCCAGCGACAAGGCCTCGGGGGCACAGATGCTTCCGACGACGCAGGGCCGGGGGCGGGCGTCAGAGTAGCACCTGACTGCGTCCATGCCGAGGCTCTGCAGCCGCCTCGGCATCACCATTCGGAACTTCTGTCAACCTCGGGCAAACACACAAAAGCAGGTGCTCAAGCAGCTTGCCATCAAGATGCAGATCAGCGGCGCATCCGTGAAACGAAAATGCTTCGCCTGAGATGGAAACGGCGCAGTTCTTGGAAGTAATGTGGCAGGTGGCATCGTTTGAAGAGTAAGATAAAACTGCGGGATAAGTACAATATCGGGTGGATGCTAGAGCAAGTGTGCCAGAAAGAGATAGGAGGCTTTTCACGGTGTAACGACAGCAGTGGAAGGAAGGTGCTGCAGGTACGAAGCACTGTGTCGTGGCCGCCCTGCTGCAGGCCGGCATCTTCAAACTAAAATACGCAAACACCCATCAATGGGCTTGCCTGCGGACAATAACAGGAACAGCCCCGGGCCCGGAGGGATGGCAATGGCATGCAATGGCAATGACGAAGGTAGCAATGACAAATACCACGCAAAATGTCGTCATCATCATCATCACCACAAGCATTACCGTTATCACAGTCACAGTGTTGTGATGCTAATGCTGCTGATCTGCGCGCAAAGACTGGTAGGGGCCACAGGTAAGGGCCACTGTATTAAAGTCTTGCGGTAGCTACTTGCTAAACGAATTCACCGACCCCGGCCCCAGTTGTTCGCCAGGCCACGGGAATGTCGTCGTCTGAGCTTGCATCGCCATGGTCTGACTCCATGGCTGTGGGAGTGCACACTCCCGGCTGCACCGTGCGACTGCTTCTGTGCCTCGCTGGAGGTTGCCCTGCATATCCGGCAGAAGTCTAAGTCGTTTGGTAAGGTTTCTCGAATTGGTCATAGTTGGTCCCTGGCACCGTGGCTGAGGACGATATGGGCAAGGTTCACTCTCTTCGCTGAGCGAGCATGTGTCCTTGCTTTGCGTTGCATCTGGCTGCCCAGTCGAACGACGCCTTTTTCGTGAGCACGAGTTGCAGCAATGCGGCACCCTGGACAGCAAATGATGGCCGACACTGGGGTGTCCGCGGAGCACTAGGAGCCCTAGACTAGTGACTAGTAGCTGGATCCCACCTTGAGCTGAGCTGGCATCAACCCGAACAGAGAACTTCCACTGAGGGGGGGTGGGCCATTGTGCGCTCATCCGGTAACCCAAGTGCTGGCGAGCCACTGCCTGCTTTCCACTGGCACAAGCCCTCCAGGCTTCTAGAAGAGAGAAGAATGACAGACGCAATCTAGCGAGAAGCGTGTTCAAACACGGCACTTCTCAAAGAATTCACGAGAAAGGCGTGCATTTGCTCTTGTAGCAAATTGGCCGAGCACATACCACACTCTGCAATGGCCGATCACCCCCTAGTTCTGGAGAGCACGATGTCTCTGACATTAAGATGCATCCGACACAGCCCCCCCATCTAGGTGTGGGCCTTTGCAACTCTTCGCATCCTGCTGGCAGCTCCGGCAGCTCTTGGAAGAAGGCACACGATGGATCACATGCCACGCCATTTCACTGGCACTGCCGGGCACAAAAGCCCGCTTGAATGGGAAATTCGAGCAAAAAACTCTGGCAGCAGAAAGGAAGAGGGGGGAGCCTCCAGCACAGACCTCCTAAGGAGACTGATAGAGTCACGAGCTCCGTGGTCAACCCCTGCCTGCCTTCTCCCGTAGGA